ACCTAAAATGCGTCATCTTAGTTACGGCTCCGTAATTTTTGTTTTCACTGAGATCGTAACCCCCGCAACTGACTTTTTAACTTTCGTCGACAACAAATTCATTTTTTTCAGTTTAATAGAATTTGCCTGATTTTTGGCCGCTAACTTATTTCTCTATTTTGATTTGCAATTCTGAAGCAAAAACAAGTGCTGCTATACTTCACGTAGAAAACAGCGGAAGATAGCTAACAGTTTTAGAGAAGAGGTGTAGATAGAGGACAAAAGGCAGTATAAGAACAAGTTGGACTAAAAAAAATCGGACCAAGTTTTTAATCGAGAAGAAGTATTGTTCCTAAATATATGATATTTTCAAAAAAATTTAACAACCAGATTTCCAGATGAAAAACGACTCATTCCCTAACACACTTGAAACTGATGAAGCGTCATCAGAAATATTCAAATCAAGTAAAAAATATTCAAAAAACAAATAAAGACAAAATTTGGGACTGTTCAAAAAAATAGAACACAGAGGCGAAACGGAGTTTTGCAACACTTGCAATATCAAAAAACACACAATTCGCAACAAATTAGTGAATGAAAAAAACACAGAAGTCAAAAAAAATTCTGAAAAATTATATTGGAAAAAATTACTTGAAAAAATAACTTATTTTCTGAATTCTGAAAAATTCTGAAAAATTATATTGGAAAAAATAACTTGAAAAAATAACTTATTTTCAACTAATAAGAAAAGTTGAAAAACTATAGCTACAAAAACACCAAATTTGTATCTGATGAAGTTCATAAACAGCCCTTAAAAATTGAAATCGATTACCGAGCGGCTGCAAAGGGGACAAAATTTTGGGTCGAAACCTGTTGAGCGGAAAAAAAAACTGTTGTCATAAATAATTCAGAAAATTTAAGTTTTTACGACCAATCCAAACTGAAACACATAATCCCAAACGGATATATTTTGCACTCGAAATTACGCAAAATAAGTTGAATAAGTCGATATAAATAAAACTGATACTGTTTGAATATTTAGAAAAAAACGAAAAGAAAAATGAAAAAAGGAAACTCCAAATCATTTTAGAAAATTTGAAGTTTCAGTTATGGTAAAGTTTGTTTTAATTGTAAGAAAGACATGCTTTGGAAAGTAAACCAATAAAATCTCTACCAGATAAATAATGGCGTTTAAAAAACGGAAAATGAACCGACAGAAATTAGGACGAAACAGCAGCCGTGGCCGATTGCGATAAGGCAAGCGTCTCTCAACACGAGGGTCGTGCGTTCTAATCCCACTTCGGTCATATGGCATGAGGGGTACCAGAGTCATCCGCCTCCTCAAGGTAAAACGGGCTGCGGCAAAATTGATGACATACCCCCTCCCTCACTGTTGGTCTTGCATTGAGTAGGACCACGGGCAATAAAAAAGGACGAAAACCACGAAACCAAAAAAAACGAGATAATTTTTGAAAAAAAAATTAGAACCTGAAAAGAGCCTGAACTAATTATTACTTAAGCGATTGTATTTTTATTCGAGCTTTCAAGAAATTGAGCATATCAGAAGGTCCTCTAGAAAAGGAGACCCTCTAGAAAAGATCCTCTAGAAGTGTGGACAAAGTTGTTTGCGGGAAAACAGTCTAGTACCCGATTGCAAAACCCTTGCTTATCGCAAGGATAAATAAGATACAATCAAATGTAGAAAATTTTGATATCATTATCCTAGCTGTGTTAAAATCCGCGCAGCGGTGGCTGGGCTGAAAGAAAAGAAGAGCACAATAATCCGACACTTAAACACGCTAAGAAGAACGGATTAGAAACACTGGCCCAAACTGTCTGAAGTTTGGTAAACAAAATTCCAGTACCAATTTACAATCAGAGCAAAGCTTATGAAGCTGTAAAAAAGTAAAAGATAGAAGTCCGTCACGTTTTTTGTGACCTTTACACTTTTGCTGTTCAATCTGTTTAGAGTTTGTCTTCGCTTTAACGCAGGAGAACTGAACTTAAAAAGTAATCAAAAGTCAAACCGCGAAAAATAAAAATTGAGAATGAACAAATTTTAAGAACTTTAAGAAAAAAACACACAAAAAAACAAAAATCATCATTCAAAGACCTATATAAGACTACAAACTACGTTCATAACTCCTAATAAAAGAAATAAAAGACTGAAATTATATCAAATCGAAAATAGTATATTTACAACCACCAAAAAAATTTCAAATGGCAAGCGTCATTCAGATGCAGATAGGCTCAAACGAAGTATACTGTTAAGCATATCATGGAGTTGACCAAACGATTCAAGTTGTTGGACAAGTTGTTAACTTGAAACATAATCTATATTCCGATTTGATAACGCTTGCTAATCACAAGCTTTGAGATTTTTGTGGATATCCTCTACAGACAATAACGAAAACTGCTTCATGTACAGACAACACTAAGCAACACCTCGATAAAATGTATTTCAATGAACATGAAAAATTGTCAAACATTATTTTAACTTTAGTGCCAAATAACAAGATGCTAATTTTAACCATCTCACGTGCATTGATTAAATAGGGGTTTTCGAAACGAATTACAATAAACTTAAGAATAAATCCGCTTGGTACAAAATTATTTAGTCTACCGATATCTTTTCTCAACGCCAAAAATTTTTTCTACTCCAGAAAAATTGTAATGTACCAGGAACTAGTACAAAATTGTTTGACTCGCCCCTCTCCCCTTGCCTAACAAACGGATGAAATAGGGCGCCTAAAAATTTGCGCTATCGACCTTTAAAGATATCAAACGAGGATTAGGTTGCATTTCAGCTCGAAAAACTCAGCTGAATAACATGTGACCAAACATGCTCGTTTGCTAACTTTGTGTTGGTCTTGTCGTTATTGTTTCTGCCATTGATAATGGGAGGAACTTTGTATCCGGGTGTTTTAGTTTTTTTTTATTTTGTTTTCCAACCAAAATCAGGTACCACAAATAATAATTGGAGAGAGTTGGGCATATTAAAGCCGTTTCAGTCGCGATTCGAATGATATTAAAATGTTTTCAAAAAACTGTTTCGGTATCGAGAAAAACTGAATAAAGTTTTTGATTTTTACTTCAATTTTTAGCGAATAAAGCGAGCGAACACTATTACATCAGCTTAATTATGCCTAATTTAAGCCCTTGAATCTAAAGTTTAAAGCAAGGTAGATTCGTTTTTTGAGTTTAGAGTCCTTTCAGTCATGACTCGAATGCCATTAAATATTTCCCAAAATTTTTTTCTAGTCTCGAGAAAAACCGGTTTGAAATTTCTGATTTTTGGTCTTATTTCGATCGAATAAAGACGAGCTAGCAGGCTTAAAATAGCTTAATTATGCTTAATTTTAGCTGCAAAAACTTAGTTTTAGTTGAGTTAAAGTATTTTTTGGATTTTCTTTGGCAAAAATTTGGGAAAAAACTTCAAAATTTTTAAATGAAACGCTGCAAAAAATTGAAATAATTTTCAATTTTTTTTATTTGTATAGCGATTTTTTTTTCGTTTTCCTTATCATTTTTCTACAAAAACTGTTTTCCAATTTGCCTGTTTTACTATGACTGATGAATATGCCTAAGTTGTACTTTTTCGTTCAGATCCTTTTATCACACCACGAAGAAAAAAAAAGATATTAATTAGAAAATCCTTGTTTTAGTATTTTTATGACTTTGGTCGGAACATTCTGTGCTATTTGCACAGTAACCGGCTATCCTTGTTTTAGTTTTCATTTTTTATCGAAAAGATATTAAAAGATATAAAAATATGCGAATGAAAGAAAGAACTACAATAACTTCAGAGTTGGAAACCTAAGAGGCTGGCGACAGCAAATACAAACCATTCTAATCGGGTTTCCTATTAATTTTAGTCATTCTGTTTTAAAAGATCTTTGTTTGATATTATAATTGTTTTTTTTTTAATGTCAATACATCTACTAACCAAGCTCATCTAACCGATATTGAACAAACGATCACAATGATATAGAACTCACAAATAAAATAAAACACCAACTAATTAAACTGCACTATCTAGATGATAAAAAGTATAAGAAGTACATATTCTAGGGATAATCATTCTAGGGATAAACGATTCGAATGATATTAAAATGTTTTCAAAAAACTGTTTCGGTATCGAGAAAAACTGAATAAAGTTTTTGATTTTTACTTCAATTTTTAGCGAATAAAGCGAGCGAACACTATTACATCAGCTTAATTATGCCTAATTTAAGCCCTTGAATCTAAAGTTTAAAGCAAGGTAGATTCGTTTTTTGAGTTTAGAGTCCTTTCAGTCATGACTCGAATGCCATTAAATATTTCCCAAAATTTTTTTCTAGTCTCGAGAAAAACCGGTTTGAAATTTCTGATTTTTGGTCTTATTTCGATCGAATAAAGACGAGCTAGCAGGCTTAAAATAGCTTAATTATGCTTAATTTTAGCTGCAAAAACTTAGTTTTAGTTGAGTTAAAGTATTTTTTGGATTTTCTTTGGCAAAAATTTGGGAAAAAACTTCAAAATTTTTAAATGAAACGCTGCAAAAAATTGAAATAATTTTCAATTTTTTTTATTTGTATAGCGATTTTTTTTTCGTTTTCCTTATCATTTTTCTACAAAAACTGTTTTCCAATTTGCCTGTTTTACTATGACTGATGAATATGCCTAAGTTGTACTTTTTCGTTCAGATCCTTTTATCACACCACGAAGAAAAAAAAAGATATTAATTAGAAAATCCTTGTTTTAGTATTTTTATGACTTTGGTCGGAACATTCTGTGCTATTTGCACAGTAACCGGCTATCCTTGTTTTAGTTTTCATTTTTTATCGAAAAGATATTAAAAGATATAAAAATATGCGAATGAAAGAAAGAACTACAATAACTTCAGAGTTGGAAACCTAAGAGGCTGGCGACAGCAAATACAAACCATTCTAATCGGGTTTCCTATTAATTTTAGTCATTCTGTTTTAAAAGATCTTTGTTTGATATTATAATTGTTTTTTTTTTTAATGTCAATACATCTACTAACCAAGCTCATCTAACCGATATTGAACAAACGATCACAATGATATAGAACTCACAAATAAAATAAAACACCAACTAATTAAACTGCACTATCTAGATGATAAAAAGTATAAGAAGTACATATTCTAGGGATAATCATAGAGCAGGAAAAAAGTATTTCTTTTTTCTGGTTTCTAAAAAAATCTTAAAAAAATCAAATGAATATACAGAAACTTTCATTTTTCATCTTGCGATGTTAACAGCGCATGAAGGAATTTGACAGGAGCGTTCATAACAAACTCCAGTTTGGAGCTCTTCTTTGAAACTTTTGATGTTTTTCAGGACAAATTAAAGCAAAGCTTTATTTTTTGCTTCCTTTTTTACTCTATTATGAGCGGAAAAAGTACGAAAAAAGGCATATACTTTTTTCCATTTTCCCAGCTCACTGGTAATAGCGAACGTTTGAATCAGTATAACTTTGAATCTATGATAAAATGAAAATATAGGAACTTGCGTCCTACAAATTCCACATTCTACTAAATCGTAAATAAAATGACTAATTTATACTTTTGATACTTCAGCTTTGACTGGATATTTCATATTTTGCGCAAGCACATCAAAACTAGATTTACAGATACAAAAAAGACAGCTACAAAATCATGTTTTCACAGTTTGAAAGTTAACATCCCTAATTTTTTCGTCTCGGTCAGGCTGAGTTTGCGTTCAAAATGTCTTGCGACGAATAGAAGGTGATATCCAACTTCAACTTGGAAGGATCGATGACCCTCCGTTTTACATACCAGCAGTACAGCTCGATCGACAAAAACACTCCGAAAGTTCCGAGAATGAACGCTAGGGCAAGAATCAGAAACCTGGCCACGTGACCGTTTTCATGTAATTGGGCCAAATTTTCCAGTAAACTTATTTCACACGCTTGGTTCCAGTCCTCCAAAACAAGCTTCGAACTATTTCCAACAAAAGTTTCCCAAGGACAAAGCGACTCCAGATTACAAAACGGCAACTCCAGAACAAAAGGCTCGTGGTCGAAAGTTTTTGTGACATTTCGATAAAGAAGCTTGACGAAATAGTTTTTATCTGCGTCCGAATATAGTTCAAACAAAAGTGCTGATGCATATGGTGGCCTCAGATAGTTAAAAACATCGAGCAGCCGAGTCAAAGCAATCAGAGTCGTGTCGTGTGCAGAGTATATTACCATTTTGTCGGCTAATTTTCTTTCGACGTTGTTCTCAATCTTGTCTTTGAACACATTTCGAATCGACTTGAACAAAGTTCCACCTAAAAGACGCTGCTGCTCTTTTGTCCTGAACAAATTATAGAACTCAAAATTAGCCGATTGTTCGAACTGTTTCATGATTTCAGGAGTCGCCCAAGATGGTAATTTTAAATTATGCGCCTGATCGCAAACTAAATTATCATAAATGAAACTGTTATTGTCCAGTGTCAAAAAAGCGCCTGTGAATTTCGCAAGTTGCTCCAGAAACGGCCAGATAGTTTTATTGTATTCCTGGTATTCATCGCTATTGTGAAAATCTAGGTCAATCTTTTCAAATCGCGGGCAGCTCTCCATTGGGACGTCCAGAAAATGATCCTCATCAGCCGGAATTGTGTGAATTGGAACCGGCTGCCAGTTGAGGTTCGAATCCCACACCTGCCAATCTTTCGGGGCATACAGTGCAGCTAAATTCGACTGTGCCGATTCAATAGCTCTATCCACATTTGATGACAAGACGTAAGTTTCGTTTCTAAGATAATGGTAGTTCAAAAATTGAGGCATGTACCTTTCTCTGAGGTAGGTTCCCAATGCGTAATGTTGTCGCATTCCCTCTTGGGTAAGCATGCCAGGTTTCTGAGGCCAGTAATTCAAGTAGGGATCATTCGGGTAGAACATAATCGGGGATCGATCCCCGTGACGCCAGATAATCTGAACGAACTCCAAGGTCAAGTTTTGCTCGTTTGGAACCCCGTTCAGACATTGTGTAAGTGAGGTCAATAAAATAAGTGTGATCACATTGATCATTTTGTGACTTCAGAATTCAATTTCTCAATCCAAGAAGAAATTCAATGAACAGGCGATGTTGATGTAGAGTTTGGTAAAAGTGACAGGGATAAAGATATTTACAATTCAATAATTCTACTAAAACAAGA